AAAAAAAAATCATAGCCAGAATTATTGAATATTCAACGACTCCTAAACATGCCCTAGGGCCAAGAAGGAATAAAATGTAGAATAAATTTGTCTTAATATTTTAAAATTATTTGATTTTCTACTTACATTAAAGAACAGGTATTCGTGTCACCTATAAATAATGCAATAAAATCACACTTCTTGACCCATATTTAGCATCAGATCCTCAGTGATACCTTTTGAATTGCCTGATTGTTTGGAAGTTCATAAAGCAACCAATCAATGGCTAGTGCTGTTCTTCTTGTATCTTTACTCCTGATTTCTTGTTTAGCAGCAATCTGCCATGGTGCAACCTTTTCTTCTCTTCAGAAAACTCTAGTTGTCACTGCTTCACCGAAAAATGGACAAGGTAAGATCGCCTCGTTAGGCCCTTCTCCTCCGTCTTTATCTCCGCATCCATGCTTACACGTATTGTCCGGCTATCTTTTGTGGCTGTGAATGCAAGAAACTTTCGGTTTCTGTCTAGAAATTAACTTTGAATTGAATTTGTAGATCTGAAAGCTGGGGAAGACAGTATAACTCTGACCTGGTCATTCAACACTTCATTTCCAGCCAGGACAGATTCAGCCTATAGGACAGTGCAGGTGAAGCTTTGCTATGCACCCATCAGCCAACAGGACAGGGCCTGGAGAAAAACAGAGGACAATTTAGTTAAGGACAAAACCTGCCAACACAAGATTGTTGAAAAGCCATACGGTCCCTCAAACAACAATTTCACCTGGACAGTGCAGAGGGATGTGCCGACTGGTACATACTTCGTCCGGGCATATGCTTATAACTCTGAGGAAGAAGAGGTAGCCTACGGCCAGACCACAGACACTCGCAAGACTACCAATTTGTTCCAAGTCGAGGCAATCAGCGGACGTCATGTCTCACTAGATATTGCCTCGATTTGCTTCTCCGCTTTTGCAGTTGTGTCTTTGTTCGGGTTCTTCTTGTTGGAGAAGAGAAGAACCAATAACTCCCAAAAAAAGTGATACAATCTTACGAGTACTTCTCTTTTAACTGTTTATATCAGAATTGTGCAATAGAAAACTTCTATTACATCATGATGGATGTTGCTTGATTCGATAGATGGAAGTGTTACTTAGTAAATATATAACATCTTCAGATAAGCACTTTAGCTTTTCTTTGCTCTGGATTTATATTTCACTAATAAAAGTAAGATAGTTTATTTCCGATTTTGACAAATGAAATAAGTATTTAATTAACTGTTTGCTTATAAGTAAACTTTTTGAGATTAGCCATGAGTGACTCAGAAAACTGTTGATAGAGAAAATTGACAGTGATCAGTGATGCAAATACATGAAAATTAATAGAATTATTTCAACGGCATTTTATATGGTTTTGTAATTGATCTGTATCTCATCCTTTGAGCATCTTCCTAAGTACAAAATTACACACCTATAAAGTGAGTGGATTTTTTACAAGCTGATCTTTTTGGTACATCTAACTAGTGAAAACCATTTCCCGGCTCTTCATTCTATCGAAACCAGTGAGTAACAGCCTATCATCGAAAAGATCTAAGCGTCCAAAAGAATTACTGCCAGAAGGGCATTCCAATGCTGCTTCAAGAACCCAATGGTGTACACCGTGGGAGTCAACTGAATGTCCACCTTTATGAGCGTGTCCGGCTAGACAGACCTTAACGCATTTGTATCTGTGTATCACGTCTATCACTTCATCGTAATTCCACAATAGTGCTTCGTCGCATGATGCACTAAGATCTAATGGCATATGGCAGCATATCACCACTTTCTGGTTCAACTTTGTTGCATTCTGAAGTACGCAATCTAACCATTCCATCTGTTCTTTTCCTACTGCTCCATTGAACATAACAAACCGTCTCTCGAGCCCCACAAGTCCATTTGGATTATTCTTGTCTGTATTTGGATTCCTTTCCTCGAGAATGTTCAAAGCTTTCAATGTGTTCGGATGATCCTTGGGCCAACCAATAGCACTGATATCATAGCCATCAAGGACAACGAGCCGATATTCTGGGACAGGAGAAAAATCATAGTATGCAAGACCCTTGCGACTGAGAATGTTCAGCACCGGAAGCAACTTCTCACGAGGGAGATTATAGAGGCAGTGATTCCCAATCGTGTGATATACAGGACCGTTAAAAATATTAAATTCGTTGACAATTTTCTCAATAGCAGTAAGAGATTGGTCTTTAGGGCAGAAACCATCAACAATGTCTCCCAAATTAATCACAAATTTCAGCTTCTGCTCATTCCATTTCTGGACCGCCCTTTGCAGTACAAGCTGGCTGTGCCGATAATAGCGAGGAACACCAAGGTACGAGTGGCCATCGGGAATATCAGCATACTGGACATCAGAGATCACCCCAAAGGAAACAAGAGGCTTCTTTTCTTTTGCACTCACAAGCCCATTTGTGCAACCCATGAAAAAAAAAGAAGTCTTTTAGGTCGAACGATAACAAATGCTGAACCAAAAGAATCAAAAGCTGATCTGACCGCTGCCACTTATCGATAAACTAGTTTGAATCCACCGTTACAATCATAGAAACACCGCTGAATCAAATATTTTGCAACCACATCACACTATGTTAATTTATCTACCTCGCCCATGTATAAGTTGTTCTATTGGGATTATATCACTCTGGTAAAATAAAAGATTCGTTATATCTANGTTAATTTATCTACCTCGCCCATGTATAAGTTGTTCTATTGGGATTATATCACTCTGGTAAAATAAAAGATTCGTTATATCTACGCAAAATACTTCACAATCATCTAAATCGTCATTCAATATGCAATATAGACAAGGAGGTTCGGAAAAAATATGCAATGCTAGCAGTAAAAATAACCAAAAAATATGTAAAGAAAAAAAAATAACAGTTTCCGACAATTATACGATGATGAATCCACTTTTTGAATCTATACGATGTGATTATTGATTACAATCAGAGCACATTAATCAAAGAAAGAATCTCTTCCGCAGCCAGTTAATTATCAATTAAATAAAAAAAAAAAACGGAGTGGGCATTGCCAATTACACCACAGACAAATCTTCGTTTGTTTAAGATTAAGAAATTGATACGCTGAAACTTTTTACAGACAAATTCATATGCCTAACACGTAGAATACACGAGTACGTAATCAAATTTTAGAAAGAAGAGCGTTAATCTACTATAACTGAGAGAGATTCACATACCCTTCTAAACAGATTGAATGCTCTAATTTTCTGCTCCTGAGAACGTGTGTATACGAAAAAATCTATATGCATATATATATATATATATATACACAGAGAGAGAGAGAGAGAGAGAGAGAGAGAGAGAGAGAGAGAGAGAGACTGATAACGTGTGTATACGAAAACATCGAGAGAGAGAGAGAGAGAGGACACGGGTCGGTAATGCCGCAGAATACTATGACGCGGCAAGAGTTTTTGTCTTGGAGGGGTTCTATTTTGACAAGGCTAACTTCCGTTTGGCTCACGTCATTCGAAATTATAATTTTTGAAATAATATATTTTTTTTTAAGAATGTGTGATTGAAAAAAAATGAATTTTATTTTTATTTGGTGTAATATTATTTTATAAAATATTATTTGATTGAAAATACGAGAGATGAGAATAAACTTTTGAGATAATGGGGTCAAATAGGAAATAAGGTTTGTAGAAGTTGTGTTAAAACAAAAAAACAAAGACATTCTCACTTTCTTTTTGACACCTAATTAATCTATAAAAAAAATATGTAAATAATGATATACAACAAGCAGGAATGGAGCCACCTTAGGTCCAGTGCAAGCATTTGCTTACACTGAACTTTAGATCCTGAAATTTTAAGAGATATAGAGAAATATATAAAAGGTTAAACCCTAATCTTAAAGGTCCCCCACCACCCCTGCCCTGGAGCATCGTGAGGGAGGTAAATCGCAGGTTATGCCTCCAAGGGTACAGGGTGGAAGGCTACTTATACACTTGCACTTACCCAAGAGCCAAATCCATATTTCAGGATTCGAACTCTTGACGCAGCAGTTTTAAGCAAAACTGGATTTCTCCACCCTCCCCTTTTACTACTTGGAGATGTGCCCTGGGGGCGATATAGAGAAATATATATAGAATATAGAGAGGAAGCCAAGAGGCATGGGCACTTTAAATGTTGCAAGAAAAATGAGTGGGACTACTAAGAAATGAGTGGAATTGCTCTACCAAATTAAGCAAATTATTCCCCCACTGAATACATTTGTCGTCTTCTATTTCTGGAGATTGTGTGAATTTTCATTTGATAAAAGATTTGGTATGACGTGGTTTTTATGAACAAAAATTGTCTGTTGATTCTTAAGATAGTTCAAGGTCGATATTTCAAGATATTCCTTTTTGTGGTTTTCTACGATTTACCCTCTCTTCTTTTAGAGCACATACCCTTTTTTTTTTTTTTTGATACTTTTAGAGCACGTACTTTCTCTTGTAGATGGGTGTTCGAGTAGACAGTAGGAGTCTTTAATAAATCATGATTCTTTATGAGTTTTTAAGGTTGTGAATTTTGAATTTCTTCGGATTTTGGAATTTTTGAAACAAATCCGACTTTTAAGACCATTTCTAAAAAAAAAAACAAACAAAAAGAGTTTAAAATTTAAAGCAACTCAATTTTCAAGAAAATAAGAATTTTTTTTATTTTTATTTTTTTACAAAAACATGGAATTGTACCTGGTATTGCCGGATTGGTAGTAGTTCTTCTAATCCTGAAGCCATCGAGAGAAAGAGAAAGTGGTGTGATGGGTTTAGGGATAAATGAAGGACATGAATTCAAGATTAGAATAAAGTTTGTTCTATGAGTTCATAGGAATAATGTTATTTATCAACGAGAAACAAGTATAACTTAAACTATATTCTTTTTTAATATTTTTACCATCATTAAATTCATTGTCGAACTTTACTTTAGATTAAATATTTCAATTTGTTTATCGTTTTATCGAGCTTTGGGTTTATAGATTAGTGAAGAAGAAAATGAATGCACATCGCACACAATAATTTAAGGGCTCAAATTCAAAGTTCGACCGTCATTAAATTGTGCCCGCATTGGATAAAATTCCTTGCTCCGCCCCTGACAACAAGTATTTTTCTAATTTAGATAAGTAATGATATTTGTACATAATTGTGTCTAGACAAATTACATGAAAGAGAGTAAGACAGAAAAAAGTGATGGAAAGAAAATAAATTTAATTATTATAATCTTTGAAAAGAAATTAAGTTATTATAGTTTTTACATCTCATTCATGTCATCTGTCTGTACACGATAATTTACAAATAACATTATTCAATTTGGATTAGGAAATATCCTATTTTCCTAACTATATCATTATTCCATGGAAATATCCAATGTCTTCTATTCTATTTAAACTTTATTTATTTCACAGGTTGAAATTAATTTTTTTTGCGCGTACCTCTCATCGTTAAATTCTTTTCGTTCACGTTGAGTCTAGCATACCATGTAAATTCTAATGTTCGAAATGAAAATGTTAAAATTTTAGACTAATAAAAAGTAGTTTATTCTTTTTACTATTCGGAAATAGGATTATATTAAACCCAAGATGCCCCCAATTTCGTGTGGCCAACAAAAATCATCCATTATCAATCAAAATGACAAATTTTTATCTAGAAAGTGTTCTTTTCAACATGTTTGGCTGAGAAAATAAGGATTAATCTATTTTTACCAAATGGTTTACCGAATTGGCAAGTGGGTGGACTTGCCAATTCGGCAAACTATTTGGTACTTGTAGCATCTTCCAGATAATAAATATGGAAACCATTTGGCCCGTTTGGCAAAGGTCCCTAATTAATATTAAGGGTATATTTGTCATTTTATTAAAGCATTATGAACCATTTGATCACCAAAGGCAAAGGTGAGACCATTTGATTCAAATTGCCTATAAATGTGAAAATGGCTCCTCACATTACGAAAATATGTGAATTTAGACTTTGAAAATCAAAATTCTTTGAAATGACTATTATGTTCTTAGTAAAGAATATATATTAATTAATAGAAATAAATATGTCAAGAAAAAAGGGAAAATAATAATAATAATACCCGCAACACCAACCCCACCAAGGCAAGTGGAGGTGGCCGCGCGGTGGAAAAAATATCGACTGATTTTATGATCAATAATGATGATACTTCTCAATAATAATGGCGATTCCAAGGGGCATTATTTCTTATCCTTGTCACCGATCGTTGATTTTATTGTTTGTAATGGGAAAAATCATTAGACACCAAGAAGGGGTGAAACTAAGGGTGTGAAAACGAACAGACCAGCATGGACAAGCCCCCCAATAGACTTACTGGCATTAAGGAATTCCCAATCCTTCTGGGAAACTCATTTTTCCGTTTTCAAGCTGCAACATTTTCTATATTTTTTAATATTTTGGCTACTGGCCAGCTAGCTGAATAAACTCCGAGACACCATCTAAAACTTCACCAAATTAATCTACTTTGCCAGAAGGAATCATCTAGAAACAATGGCAGAAGATAGGTTGAAGGAATATGATTGAATGAAAAAACTGACTGTATTTTAAATTGTTCAATGTTAAAATATTATATGACATTACATAAACTTTCTTGTGCATGTACCAGGATTGACGATTACCAGAGGGTATGACAGAAGACTAAAAATTGCCAATTGGTTGCAGAAGGCATTTGTTTTGGTTGCCATTTGGGCACGATCAAAGTTTTCAGCCAGTTAATGTGACTCTGCAACTCGGCCACCATTAACACTGGGAATGTAAACAAATTGACTTTTTAACGTCTAAAATCATCGTGAATCAACATTTTAAATAGGTTGGACACTAAATAGATGTAAGGAAGACTAATATAATAAACTGGACATGAATGATATAAATGGAGACATTAACAATTATTAGTTGTTTCGTTACATTTACAACAGAACTACCTAGAGGCTTTCCCAATAATGCCAAACGGACACCAAAGAATTGGATTTGAAGTGGCCCGAACCAGTAGAGGCCGGCATAATGCAGCACCGTATACTGCCCAAAAATTACTCGAATCGTTATCCACGGACAGCTTTTCCATTTTCATCATCTTCTTAGATGGTCCCTGGTGAAGAAGGGGTGTCTGAGGGCCTCACGAGCCGACAACCTATCTGAAGGATCATATCTAAGAAGTCCTTGTACTAAATGTATAAGATCTCCCGCTGAATGATCTACATGTTGCATGATCAGGTTCTGAAGGCGATGCAACTTCAGAACGGCTTTGATACTATCTCTAGACATGGCACCTTCTGGCCAGTCTAATCTACCTCTTCGAACATATTTCTCAGCAGATCGGCTGAAAAAAATAATCAATTAAGCAACTTGGCAATTCTTCATCCTCTCATTAGACTAATTTCAATGCTTAATTGCACCTACCCTGCTCTCTTTAACATGTGCTGCGGCATAGGTCCAATGACTCTCTCCATCATGGCAAGGTGTTCCAAATTCTCATGTGTTTGGAACAATGCTTCCCCCTGGGTACGACCAGGACAAGTTTAATTACAAATTACGCCCCCCACACCCCAAAACAACACATAAAACAAATAATTCCACGTGAAAAGGCAAATGAAACATACAGAGCAAAGTTCAACCAAGATACACCCAACACTCCATATGTCACAAGGGTAACTCCATCCCAGTCCTGCACCGACAAACAATTACAACCTCCAGCAAAAAAGAGAATCAAAGGAAAGAAAAGCGACAAAAGAATGAAGTACAAGGAAAAAATCTGACATTAAGAACTGAGGTTATTATTGAATTTTTAGTAGCAAGGCCATTACAAATTTTTACCTAAAATAACTTCCGGTGCTCGGTAGTGTCGAGTTGATACAATGTACGTCTGATCCTTCTTTTCATAAGTCGTGCTGCCAAAATCAATTACCTTTATAGCACTAGACTTGGGAATTCTCTTGTAGTATGAACCATCCTTCGGGGACCTTGACAAACCCTGGAACCAGTATATATTCATAAGTTGACCACAAAACAAATACCACATGAAGAGGCAGTTCACCAAAAGAGAAAAAGCCATCATTTTTACTGAAAAATACTCACACATAAAATGCATACATTAGACATATAAATCATCTGACTACCTTGTAGTCAGGAACTTTAACATACTCCGGCGTAACTAATAGAATATTCTCAGGTTTCAGATCAGTATGGATGAGGTGTAAGTCATGCATAACTGTAAATTATACACAATAAAAAAAAAAAAATCAATACCGTTAAGCAATAATGAAACAACT